CCCCACCCACCCACCCACCCACCCACATCGACCTTCCACTATGTGTTCATCCAACACACCCTGAGGTCCTGCATGCCCGGCTGAGGGAGGTGCTGGTGTCTAGTGAGTGGGGTGCAGCCTCCTCCTGGTGAGCTCGGAGCTCTGGGAAGGAAACAACACAACAGGTCATTGCAATTCACCCTACGGGCAGCGCAGGCTGGACCAGAGCGTTTGGGGAACACCTGGGAGGGTCCACCACAGCCACTGGCCCGGTTCTGTCTATTTCCTTTGAGGGAGAGGGATGGCCAGCCCTGGGGGCGACCTTGAGGCCAGCCTCGGGGAGCAACCCAGGAAGCTCCCCGGGACAGTTCTTTTTACTGGGGAGCAGGACTTGAAGGATGAAGGGAACCGGAAGGGCAGGAGGGCAGGTGGAGTGCGGAGCCTGTGGGTGGGCGGGTGGACGAGGAAAGGAGGGTCGATGAGCAGCGGCCCTGTGTCCTGCCAGTGGTCAGGTGTCTCTGTTTTCCGTCTGTTTCTCCAGTGGGTGAGTCTCACGCTCTGTGGTCGGGGTCTCTCGCTGTGCACAGAGGGGTCCAAGGTGTAAATACCGCCATGCCTTCAATTCAGGCCACTTCTGCTCCTGGGGGTGACACTCAGGCCTGGGACATGAGCCCTTGTCACCTGGCTTTCTCCTGGTACACCTGTCACCGTCCCTCAGAGCGCCCTTGGCCTCGGTGCCCCCAGCACTCGACTGCCCTGAAGGACCCCGGGCTTCACACGCCCGAGCCTCCTCAGGTCACTCCACACGTAGCACCCGGCATGCGCCAGGCATTTCTGCAGGGGACGGTGTGGGGACAGGGACAGGACAAGCCGTGCCTTTATGCGGCCTGTGTTCTGGGGTGATGGGGGAGTAATCCACAAGGAGGTATTATGGAGGGTTCTGTGGGACCATGCATCCTAGGAAGAGAAGGAGCGTGCAGGGTGGGGTCCCGAGTCCCGGGGTGCCAGCAGGGTGCTCCAGGGCCCGGCCCCAAGAGTGTGGCCCAAGTGTCCGAGAAGCCCCAAGGAGCCCAGGTCCTCCAGATGAGAGCCGCTGAGCAGCCCAGCCCAGGGCAGAGGTTAGGTCAGATGGCGGGAGGGGACCTTAGGCCAGCTGTCCCTGGGGAAGGAAGCGCGGAGGAGCTGGGAGCGGAGGGGAGCAGGATGAGCTGGATTTCTAAGGGACGGGACGGCCTGGCTCCAGTGCTGGGCAGAGCTGCAGCGGGGAGCAGCGCCCAGGGCTGGCGGCGAGGAAGCTCCTCAGGTGTGGTGCCCGAGCTGTGGGCTGAGCTCCTGGTGCCTGGGGGGGACGAGCACAGGGCCACGGATTGCAGAGACCCAGAGCCGGGTCACAGAGGTCCCTGGGGCAGCCCCAGGGGGATAAGTAGGGAGGTGACGTGTGAGTCCCCGTTCAGGGCCACCTGGATGTCACCCACACCCATGGCTTGTTTAGCTGATGGGACCCACAGAGAAGAGGCCAGGCCGGCTGTGGGCAGCCCTCGGGCCAGTGGGTGTGGGGATGGGGCAGGAACTGACCAAGTGGGTCTGTCGGAGCAGAGTCCTGGGAACCAAGCAAGGACACCAGAGGTCAAGGTGGGGTCCACCTCAACACAGGGTGGGGACAGGAACCGGGCACCCCATCAGCAGGACGGAGGTCACAAGTCACTTGGCAGGAGCTGCGGGGGAGGGCCAAGGTCAAAGGCCTCATGGAACAGGACCCAGAGGAGTGAGTGGAAGGCCTGGGAGTGAGTGTGGGTGGCCCACCTTGCCCTCCTGCCCGGCTGGGCCTGTCCTTTCCTCTGCAGCTCCATCCACGCCACCTACCAGCACTCGGAAGCACTCAGGATCCCTCCCCACTAGGCCTGTGTCACCTTCGTCCCCCAGGCACACGGTGCAGGAGGCTCTGTCCTCAGCAGGGGTGAGCTGCTGGGGCTGCTGTGGCCAGTTCCATGGCCTCTGGTCCATGTCGGCCTCTGGTCCTGGAACGTGCCTGTCCAATGGCTGTGGCACCAGGCCAGGGGAGGTCCTGTTGTGGAGGGCAGGTGACACAGGGGCATGCCAGATGCACATCTCTGCACACCCAGGGAGTGTGCCGGGCCAGTGCACCCTCATCTGGCCAGAAGGGCGAGTGACCCAGGGCTGGACTTGGCAGCATGGGGACAGGCAGACAGATGCCTAGGGAAAGCTGCGGAATGCTGGGTGACACATTTGGAAGACAAACTTCTCTTCCTCAAATTTGTGCCGGTGGCGAGCTCCAGCTTTTCGCCTGAAGTCCAGGATTTCGGCAGGGAAAACCCTAGTCCATTCTGCCTGTGGGGCGGGCGCCCAGGGGCTGAAAGGAAGCAGACTGCTGTTGACTGTTTATTTGACAAATGTGACTACGCATTCAATAAGTTGTCTTTCAAATTATCCTGTCAATGTACTCTCGCACAAGATGCTGCTCTGGGAGGGGGACCACCTTCCCAGGAGCAGCTGTGCTGGCCTCTGGAGTGCTGCTTGGGGGACGTGGGACGGGCTGAGGTGAGCCCTGTCCACACTGCACCGCAGTCTGCTGCTGGTAGCCCAGGACCACGCTGCTGGTCTGTGGCCTAGACGTCTGTGCCCTGCAAACATGGCCACCAACCCCAGGACACACCTGTCCCTGTCTGGCGTCGCGAGAAGCCCCAAATACTACAGAACACTTTGCCCAGAGGTGGCCACCACAGCTGGAGTAGGGACCCTTGTTCAGGGCCACGGCAGGTTCTCCTGGGCCCACAGCTGAGGCCGTGTGCTAAACTCCACCAGCGCTGCAGCTGGGGCCACCAGGCCTGGGGCAGGGGAGAGCAGGGAGGCTGCGATGAGCGTCTGAGAGAGCCCTCGCCTCATGACTCCTAGTGAGCACCCAGGGAGGGGCAGAAGCACCCAGCCCCTGGCTAGGGAGACCCCCCTGCCCTGTCCATTGGAGCTGGGGAAGTGGGGGCTGCGGCCCCTCGGGGTAGCGCTGGCTCTGGGCCGGGTCCCAGCGTGTTGGGGGGACAGCCAGACCTTCACTTAGAGACGCGCGTCTGGGTTCAGCAGCCATGTGGCCAGGTGGAGCTCCCAAGGCACAACCCTGAAGGCCATGCCCTGCTTGTCCAGTCTCCCTCACCCCAAGGGGCCCTCCTTCGTCCTTCCATAATGCCTCAGAGAGCATCCAGAGAGATCTGGGAGGCCATGCAGCTTCTGGTCAGCCGGACTCTGGGATTTGTCACCACCTGGGCTCTGAGGGGCAGGGCGGCTTCCTATTGGCTGATGGAGGAATCAATCTGCAGGTGCTCTCTAGGGGGGCGGGGCTTCTCCCAGGAGAGGCGGCAGAGATGGCTGCAGAGAGGGGGGTGGCCCGAGGACCAAGGGGAGGGGTTGGCTCTGTGCTGAGGCTGCAGGAGCTGACCTGCTTCCCCCGGGTGAGAGGTCACGGGGTCTGGAGTGGAGGGGGTTGGAGAACAGACCGAGTGCTGCAGGCACATGGGCATTTTTGGAAGGCCCTGGGGACCGTGCCCTGCTGTGGGAGTCCCACCCCACACCAGCTCGCCCTTAAGAAGCCCGTGGACAGGGCAGTGCTGATTTGTGGTGTCAGAGGTCACGTGGCACCTCGATAGCTTCCCGAGCAGTGGCTTCTGACCTGTCCCAGCCAGCTGCCAGGCGTCAGGTGACAGGAGGGCACGCCCATCTGCACGGGAGCCCTCTTGTGGGCCCCCTGGGCTGGGAGGGTGCTACAGGAGAGCATGGGGTGGGCAGCCCTGGGGCCAGCCTGCTGCCCTCGGGACGCGCCCTCCAGGGCCTCTCCGTCCAGCTGGAGCCGCAGAGCCGCCCGTGCTGGCCGCGAGAGCGACTGTGGGGTTTGCAGTGGCATCCTGTTGAGGGGTGAGGTGTGTCCTGGTGCAAGTGTCTACGCAGCAGAAGTCGCACAGCAGGCACCCTGCTCCCCAGCTGCCACTGGGTCCCTGCCACCCTTCCCCGTGCTGCGGGGGCTTCCCCAGGCTGCAGAGCAGAGCCCACTTATCCCCCTCTCTCCATGGGGTCTCAGCTGCTTCCAGGTTTGGCTGCTACAGGGACATCCACGCGTGGGGCCTTGTGCCACCCGTGAGCTTTCTGCAGCCTGGACTCCTGGAGCTGGCGTGGCCGGGGTGTGAAGTGGTAGGTGAGAGCCAGCCGCCAGCCCGCTCAGCTCAGAGATGCGTCCCCAGCTAGACCAGCAGAGAGCCGAGTTTACCGGGAGCAGGAGAGAAGGCTGGGAGCTTACGGGTCCTCAGGAAGAATAGGACCTTTACGGAGCTTCCGGTCATTGTTAATGACAACAGCTTTTCATGTTTGTTGAGGGCCACAGCCAGTCTGGATGACGCAGGGCATTTTTGCCAGAAGTCGTGGTTGAGAGGTGACGCCGGGAGCCATTAAGATGATGCCTTTTGAGTTCTGGCGGAGTTCCCCTTGAGTTCCGCTTGAGCTCTGGCGGGGATTCCTGAGGAGTCCGCTTTGGTTGGGGAAGTTCCTGGTGGGATTTCCGGTTGGTGTGGGGTGTGTTCCTGGAGGAGCCACCTGGGTGGTTCGGGAGAGTTCCCGGGGAGCGTGTGTGGAGTGTGCTGGTGGAGTTCGGAAATAAAGTTTGTTCCTGCTGGAGTGGCTCGTGATTTGTGCCCAGCCAGACTGCAGCCCGTTATCATGGACCCAGTGTCTCCTGGTCACGCAGGCGGGCTCCCGTCCTGAGCCGCTCTGTGTTTTAACTCCCGTAACCCCGAGGATGCCTGCGGGAGACCTACTATTCCCGGTGGCCATTTTGCAGACAAGGAGACTGAGGCTGAAGGAGATCAGAGAACTTGCCCAGGTCACACAGCTGTGGGGGCCGGACGCAGGATGTCTGCTCTTCATTCCAGCCATTGCTCCACAAATCCCCGGGGAGCACGCCCCTGTGGGAAAGGACCCTCACTCGCCCTCTTCTGCCCCTTCCCGGGTGTGTGCAGCTCTGACAGGAGCTGCCCCTGCATCGCAGGCTCCTGGGACGGGAGGAGTGTCAGCCCCATGCTCTTCCCCACGCTCTTCCCCATGCTCTTCCCCACGGCACGGCTCTGCTGCCCTCGGAAGCTTTCCTTCTGAGTTCAGTCCCTGGTGCTCGGGCTTGACTGGCCTTTCCTGGTGGCCGCGCCTTGGTTTGTGCCTGGTCCCAGCTCCCCCTGGCCGCCCAGCCTGGCCTTCTCCCAGGGCTCTGGCCTCCCAGTGGGGATCAGGGACACCCGTGTGTCTGTCTTTTAAGGACAGCTCAGACTTGTGCTCCCAGAAGCCAGGGCAAGCCCTGATCAGAGGGGTTGCCCACTCCCTGCCCTTGGGCACTCCACTGGACTGTCCTCTGGGCCCTCTTAGCCCTGGGCACAAGCTCCTCACTCTCAGGCGAGTGGCTCATTCCTGCTGCCCCCTCGGCTCCTGCTCAGGTGGCCCACCTGGAGCTGTGCAGAGCCTCCAGTGCCCTGAATGCCCAGGGGCAGGCGTGGAGGAGGCTGGGCGTGTGCAGGCCAGCAGGAGCCCAGAGACAGACCTTGTCAAGGTGCATTCAAGGCGCTTCGCTTTACCAGGGCCGGGAAGTCAGCACGGGACAGCGGCCAGGCTGCAGCCTCGGAGCCAAGACCCTGCTCCTCTGGTGGCCTGTTGCTGGTGACAGTCCTCACCTGCCGCCTCCTTCCAGCCAGGTCTCCCTGCACTCCACAGCGTCCTCCATTTCTCCAGGGAAATGATCTGGAGGCAGAAGGGTGAAGTGGGCCTTTCAGTACTTGGACCCAGGGCTGCCTGAGCCCATTACAGGGCGACCTGCTCCTCATGGTGATGCGGTTCTGAGCAGCTGCCTCCAGAGCTGCCTCCTCATTCCAGGAGAGGGGCTGGCGGCCACAGAGCCCTGTACAGAGAGCCGCAGGTGGGCGGGGGGAGTTGCTGGCCGGCTGCCCGCTGTGGGGCTGGCCCCACACAGGCCACGTCCCGCTCAGCACCGCCCTCCCTCCCAGCTCCCTGCGGAGGTGGAGAGCCCAGGCCAGCCTCCTTCCTGGAGGCCACCGAGCTGTGCCTGGCCTCGGCCTGGACGGGAGGACCAGAGAGCAGCGGTGCCGCCCGCCTGTGCTCCGACTCCTGCCCACTCTCACGGCCCAGTCCCTCCCACTGTCACGCTGGGTCTCGGACCTGTTCCTCGCCCTTGGTCACCATCAAGCATTACATCAGCAAAAGGGCCCCTTGTCACCGTCCCAACAAAAATTAATTCCAGTCCAGCGGCCCTGGCGCTGCTCCCGGTCACCACCAAGCTGGTGATTGGAGGTGATGAAGACCGTGAGCCCTTCCCCTCCAGTTCCTCTCCCTAATAGTTTTACCAGAGAACGACTGTTCACGGGGCTGCAGCGGGTTCCTCTCCCTGTCTTGGTGGCCAGCACAACCCACCCCAGATCCTCACGCTGTCACACCTCCTGGGGGTGTAGATAGGACCCGGCCCTCCCTGCTCTCCCCGGGGCTCTGACACCCTCCGGAGCTTCAGGACAGCAGTGACATTAGCGCAGGTCCCATCTGGAGCAGGACGTTGGAAGTGTGGCCTGGAGGGGCAGGGCCCGAGTGCGGCCCTGGTTCCCTGTCCTGCAGTGATCCCGCGCCAGGCCGCACGGTCCTGCTCTCCTCCCCAGGCTCTGAAGCTCTGTGCTTGGGCTGGGAGGGGTGGGTGCTTCCGGGGCCTGTGGGGGTCATGCACTCAGGTTTGGTGACCCCTGGGAGGGTCTTCAGGAGGAGGAGCTGGTGACCAGGGGCCTCGGTCGAGGGCTGACTGCTGCTCCTGCCAAGCGATCAGGAGACAGATGGAAAACGGAAACGACAGGCCTGGGGCAGGTGGCTGAATGCCCGATGCCGACGCGGTGAGGACTCTTGGAACCCGAGGGTCTCGCTAGCGACTGGGTAACGGGTCAGCACTGGGAGAGGCTGCGGGGAGTGTGGGCCTTGGAGCTGGTGCTGGTCCTGCCCAGGCCCCTCCCTGCCTCTCGGGGCCTCCAACCGCCCTGCACCATGGGCACCTCCTGCCATCCGGGCGGGCAGCCCTGGGTGCCCAGAAGCAGGTTGGGAGACGTCTCCCTGGGTGCATCTCAGGTCGCAGGCCTGGAGAACCGCGGCCTGGACTCGGCTCCCACGGTGGCTCCCACACGCTTCGCGGTGAGGCTGGCTGAGGCACCGAGGTTCCCACCACCGCCCGTCCCTCCAGTGTGCAGCCACCCTGCTGTCCCCATCCCGCATCCTGGTGGCACCACGGTTAGAGGATGAGCCTGCACAGGTCCACACTGTCACCCGATGCCACGGGTCACACTGAGGTCCCTCCAGGCACGGTACAATCCGTGGGTTTGGGGAAATGCGTAGCATCACAGTGTCCCCTAGGCCCCAGGCAGGGCAGCGTCACGGCCCCAGGGTGCCCTCTGCTGTCCCCACACAGTCCCCAGGCTCCTGGCCACCACTGGGCATTTCTGTCTCCCTGGTGTTGGCGTCCCAGACGTCATGGTGTGGGGCACAGGGACCCAGCCTGTTTGGCTTCCCTCACCTGGAGCTGTGCCTGCAGGGCTCCCCCGTGTCCCTGCCGAGCTCCACGGCTTGTTTCTCGCTGAAGCTGCTGTTGTCTGAGTGGACCCCAGTTCCCTCACCCGCCCAGGGCCCCTCGGCGGCTACTCCCCAGCCTCCCGGCTCCGAGGGCAGCTGCTGCGCCGTCTCTGTGCTGGCTTCTACGCGGATGTAGGTTCCACCATCTCCAGGGCCGAGGTGGCCGGGTCGCGTGGTGAGACAGGTCCAGCTTTGTGCTGAGCGGGGTCCCTGTTGCTCCGTGTCCCCACCAGCCTTTAGCACCAGGGTCCGGCTGTGGCCCTTCTGCTGGCTGTGCTCTGCTCGTCTCTCAAACCAGAGGACGGTCACTCTCCAGCCAGAGCTCAGTCTCCAGAGGACATGATGATGCACGGAGCCCTCACGATGGACGTGCACCGCAGCCCAGGACCCTGCAGAAGCGCAGAGGAGGGTCGAGCCCTGGGACAGCGGTGGACAGGCAGGAGCCCTGGAGCCTCTGTGCACGCTCAAGGGACAGGTGCTCTGTTTCCAGAGTCCCTTTAATTGGGTCCCTGCTTCTAATACCTTGGGTTTCATCTGCCCATCGCAAGTCTCACGTTTTCCAGGAGAAACTGATGAGTGTACTTTTCCCAAAAGCTGAACCTGGACCGAGTACGTTTCTAGGTTTTAACGTCAGCTGGAAATTGTCTCTTAAAGTGACAGAGCGGAGGAGGAAGTCTGCTCCTGATGGGATGGCGAGGGCGGCCAGGTAGCCCAGTGGGGAGGGATGTGGGGCGACCCGGCCCCAGGGCTCAGGCCTCTGCCCGCCCTCCCTGCCCGCTCAGCCGCCTGCCGTGGCCCTGTGTTCTGTGTCTCAGTCTCCCCTTCCCGTCTCCTGTGCCTCTCGTGTCCCTCAGTCCCCCTCGCTCCTGGCCTCTCTTCCTGGGTCTGGCTGAGCCCTGGTGGCTCACCCTGGTGACTCTCCTCCCCACAGCTCTGCTCTGTCCAGTGCCCTGGAGACTCCCGCATGGTGGGGGAGGGCCACAGCCAGCCGCCTCCTGGGCTGCGTTAATCATGGCGCCAACCCCAGGAGCCGTGGAGGGGCCCTGGACACCCACCGTGGCTGGTGCCGCTGTGAACGTGGCAAACCCGTCCAGCGGCGGGCGACCTGCGGATCTCCCCGTGACCCTCCGAATCTCATCTCCTGCTCTAACCCAGGGTCTCCCGGTCTCTGATTGGGGCCGCGGCAGTGTCCACCTGAACGTTCTCCGGTCAGGTCCCTCGCTGTCTCTGGAAAGAGTGTTGGGGGGACCTCCCTGGGGTGGGCGTGGGTCCCAGCTCTGCAGGCCCAGCCTCGCCTGTCACTGGTGGACTGTCCTCCGCATCCCCACCCCCAGCCCTGCCAGCAGACATAAACCCCAGCCACCAAGCCCAAGCCCTCCCCGACCTGTCCCCACGGGGCTCCCCCTGGCTCCTCTCCTGCGTCGGCCTGTCCCCCCAGGCAGCTCACCTCACCAGCTCCAAGGTGACAGCAGCAGCTGGGTGACGGGAGAGCCCGTGCAGCCTGCGGACGGTTCCCAGCGCTGCCTGTTCAGTGCACTTTCCACTCCCTCAGCCATGGCCAGGACCCCTGGGTCTTGTGGGGTCTCGGTGGCTGCAGAGTTCAAGGGCTTCTCTTTATCTCACCTCCTGCCCTCGACGCTGTGCGCCTGTCTGCGTGGAGCGTCGCTTGGCTGCGGGGCTGGAATTCTGTAACCACGCGAGGTTTTTCTCATCGTCTACACATAATCTGTGCATTGAAAAAACCCCGAACAGAGGCGTGTACGTGGTCACACTATTCAGGGCAAAGGCCGAGGAGGGGAATCCAGAAGGCCTCTTCTTGAGGAGCTGATCATTAAGAAGCAGTAGAGCTCGTCATTTAGAAATATCTCCAAGACTGAGCACGTGATCCCAATGAGGGGGAGAGGCCAGGTGTCTGCCCAGGTGCACATGTGTGTGTTATACAGGTACCGGCATGAGAAGAAGCTCACGTGCACAAGAGTTCATGCATACACACGTGCCTCACGGAGGTGGAGACCTGGCCTGGGACCGGGCTGCCTTGGTGGCCGGGGCTCAACTGGGGCATGTAGTGGGGGTCACGCCTATACTGATGGCCACCCTGGTCCCACGTTAACCCTGGCCCCCAGCTTCCCTGAACTGCCGGCCTCGTGCCCTGGGAGCAAAGGAGCTGGTGGGTCCTGAGTAGCCAGCAGGCCCAGGGGTGGCTGCCCATAGGCGGCCTGGGGCTGACCCTCTGTGACCGGCCTGCCCTGTCCACTGGCTGGGGTGCCCCCCCCACACCTCCTGTGGTCCCCAGGGCCCCGCAGGTCCCCTGGGCCCCCTCCCAGGCCCCAGGCCCTGGTGGGCTGGTTCCTGAAGAGCCGCAGGTGCCGTCAGGAAGGCCCAGGATGAGCAGGTTCTTTGGACAAGTGCCGGCTGACCCGAGTGTCCAGGCCCAACGACCTCACTGCCCTTCACAAAATTATTTGTTTTGTTCTCTGCCGGGACGTGAGGTGGGCAGAGCCCTGGCGGGCGAGCGGAGGGACGCTCTGGCCGGGCATTGGAAGGGCTCAGCGGTGTCTTCCTCGCACCTTCCTCACCTGGAGTGGGCGGTTACCACTGTGCCGGGACTCACTCCCAGGGGCTCCGACGGGAGTCTCTCGGCGTTTCGGCCTCTCTGAGCGGCCCTAAAATGAGTGAGTTCCCCCCGAGCAGCCTTGTGTTGGCTTCTAAGCCCGCCCGGGCGGCTTGTGAGTGGGCTGCTAAAGAGCTGGACCGGCCCAGCAGCTCCTTCTGCAAGCAGCAGCCTCAGGTTCCTGGCGGGAGCAGGGCAGGGGCAGGCAGGACCGGCCACCCCACCTCGGGAAGGTCGGGAATCAAGGCCATAAGGAAGCCTGTCTTTGGTGGCAGATGGCCGGTGCGTGGCCCCGCTGTGCCGATGCGGGGACCGGCTCGTGCCACCTCCTCCGTCTCCGGGAGAACACTCAGCCGTTGAGAGGAAACGTATGGCTCTAATATGCCTCGCCCCCGCCAAGCCGTTCCGCAGATGCACAGTGCTCTCTCTCCCTGCCCTGGTCTCACTCAAGGCGGATGCGGCCCAGGAGGGATGTCTCCCAGGCGGGCTGCAGGAGGGGCCGGGAGGGCGGCAC